AAGAGTTTTTTTAAAAAAAAAAAAAAAAAAAAAGCAGAGGATGTCTGTTTACAATGAAATGGGGAAGGTGCACTGTTGTATTTTGCTTTTTCCCCGCAGCAACAGAAGCCACTGAGTTTCCTGGGCTTCCCCAGGTCACAGCCTGGATTGCAGCCGACTGTTGATCTGTGTAAAAGAAATGTAATCTAATAATAATAATAATCATAATCTCCTCTCCTTTTCTTTCTGCTGCTCAGCTGCAAGCCAGTCCCCTCATCCTCTCACCGTCTCTGTCCCTGTCTTTGCTCACAGCTCTGAGCCTACAGCGAGACTTTGAGCTTTGTAGCTCATTCAGTTGCTTTTGAACCAGTCGTGTCTGATCATTCTCTCCTTCGTAATTTGCCTTCCAATTTTCCCTTCCCAGTAGGAGTGCCTTACAGTACTGTATATTAGTGTCTATCTTCCTGTTTTGGATTTCCTGGTTGAATCTGCTGTTCGATTAACTTGTAGGCTCCAACTCCCGTGGCTGCGCATGCTCTTTTGCAGGGGCGGCTGAGTAAATCACTCTGCTTGTTCTGCCCTCGTGAAGTGAGCTTTACAGGCTGCATATGCCAGCTCTAAAGACACTAAGCTGCATGGAAACCCCTCACTTTTGCTCAATTTGGTGCCTTAGATTTTCAAAAGCGAAGAATTTTGTCAGGAGTGCTCTGCCGTGATGCAGCGTTGTTTGGCATTGGAGCTCAAAACCCTTGCTCATGGCCGTTTCCATCTTGCTAGGAGTGGTGCCCATAAAATTTGTTTACTGTCTGCGCTTTGAGAGGGAAGTATGAGAAAGGACAGCATGGAGATGGCATTGGTTTTTATTATCTGTATTTTGGAGACTAGCTGGGCTTCTCTTCAGCCCGAAATGTGGTTGTGGTTTTGTGAGACCTCCAGGAGCTATACATATGTAATAATGGCAAGCACTGGGCATTAACACAGGATGAGGTCACGTGCCTCCTGGAGCCACTGGCCAGCCCGTGCCACGTGGCAATGGACTTGGTACGGCACTCCCTGCCCGCACGGCACAGCCGGGTCTGGGGCTGTGGCAGTGAAGGCATTTCCTCAACGCTAATGTTATCGCAACCCGGTTCCCTGAAGGCTGACCTGGTGAGGGTTTGGTCAGCATTACCTTAGAGAGAGGGTTAATCTGCTTCAATTTTAGCATTATTTGCTGAAGTCTGTGGCCAGCTCTTCCAGCCTGTGTTAGCCCTGGGCGAGTGTCCATTCTGACTGCGATCTGTTAAGTCCGTGTTTGACAGCAGCAGTTGCTGCATTTTGGCAGCGTAGTGAGGAGACAGCCCAGATGATAATGTGCAAAGTCCTTCTTTACTTGAAAGCCTTGTCGTGCATGAACTGGCTTGGGTCATATCTTAAAGTGCCAGTTTTGTCCAAATTCCTTAGGGTGGCCACTAATCCAAATCACAAAGATGCCACTTATGGGCAGAAGTGTCAGTGGCTCAATTATTTATTTATTCACGTGTAATCCGCGCGTTAAACCAATATAAATCCTTGAGTACACAGTTTTGGTGGAAAAAGGATTTGTTTCAGTTTTGCTTATGTACTTGTCTACAAAGTCAATCTTGCTTAAACTAAAGTGTGTTTTCAGGCTGATATTTAATGGCATTGATGCCTGTGATACCGGGTTAGCTTATGCCAGTCCCTTCTATCCTTGAGCTAAGCGAAAGTAAGAATTGATGAGCAAAACGTGCATTTGAAGGGTTTTAAGTGTTAAAGGCGGCTTCCAAATCAACTGTGGTTGTGTTGAGGCAGCTGGAGGCGGGGGGAAGCCGGGTGTGAGCAGCAGGGTGCAGCGGCTGGTTCTGTCCCAGGCAGCCCCCTCTTCCCTTCCCAGCAGAGCACCAGCTCACCCCCAGCACCCCCAATGGGTTTTAGCACCACTGGCAGCGCACCCTGAGTTTTTGGAAAACCATTACCTGTGTGTGCTACTCCATTAACTTATTGGCAGCAACATTATGTGTGTTTTCATTGTTCTTGTGTTTGGTTTGTTGTTTTTTTTTTACTTTTGACAAGGATTTTTTTTAAAATTATCTGCAACTACTAGGCAATAGACTTAATTTATTATTGATGTGTAATAATGTTATAATTTAAATTCAGTGAGTTGAATTGCTTGTTGACACTTGAGCAGGGTTTATTTGGGTTCACTTGTGACAGCATCACAGCACCAGTCCCTTGTGTATAAAGGCAATTCTCAATAAACACTAAAAAAAAATTACTCGTTCTTTTTAATTTGCCTTCTGGTGGGTACTGCACTGTGGGTAGGAAAAATGCTCATTTGCTGGTGAAAATCTTCCAAATCTAAGCAAATTAGGATCCCGGGTCTGAGCCGGGAGGTCTCTGGAAATACTGTCATTGACTGCATCAGGCTTTGTGGGTTTGGATTCTCAATAAAATCTCTTAAGTGTTTTTTGAAAGCCACAAATGCTTGACCACCAGCAGCTCCCAGTGGGGCTTATCGGGAGCTGTTGTTGTTGGGCATTTTTGGCTATGGATCTCTTGGAAGGCACAGGGAGGCAGCTCCCCACTGCATGGCTGTCACATGGAGCTGCCAGAACGGTCCAGTCTAAGGGCCTTGAATCCTAAGTAAGGGAGGCATCTCCCCGCTGGACTGAAGGGACCACTGTAGAGCTGGGAGGACTGGATTTTCCCATGTTGTAAGGGCTCTCCCACTGATGGATGTAGGAGCAGGCATGATTCCTGCTCTTCTGGGCTGCTTCTTCCAGTGCACCAGCTGAGGA